TCCTTGGGTTTAAGTAGACAAAAATAATTTCAATATATAAATCTGTTCTGTGTTTTCTGTTAAAACTTTGATGCTATTTTACTGGCTTTAAGACAGACGTCTTAGACACATTTGAATCTCTAGCACCAGAGATTCTCAGTCCTCACTTTGCTGTTATTAAGCCAAGGTAGTTATGTTGATGTGTAGCAAGTAACTAATGCTGCAGGAGCAGTTGGTTCTGAGAATCCTGCACCTTCTCTGCACTGTGCCTGGGATGTTACCGTAAATTCGGTCCCAAAAGAACCCCCTAAGACCTGGTTTGAAGTTTCAGAAGGCAAGGCGTGCTTCACTGCAGCGCTGGATGCACGGGGCGGGGGGATCATTCCACTTCACATCAATGCTGAAAGACAAGGGCACACATTATATACAATTAAAAAAATGAATATTCATGTAATTTGAGAACTACACACCTATTTTCAGAGAGTCTAATGCATATGTTAATACACTGTTTGGGGAAGAGTCCCTGAGGGGTTTCCACAGGTGTCTGCTGGTTTATCTGCCCTGTCTGGAATGTCCCCATCACAGTTGCAAAAACTGCGTCCTTGGGCACGTTGTTGTCTGAGGCTCCTTACAGCAATTAGCACCAACTGCCCGCAGGCGTCAGGGAGGTGTTACCGGCGAGCAGAGTTGTGTTCCACCACAGAGTGCCCATTCTGAGCACAGTCAGAGCTGATTTGGGGCTCCTAGCACCCAGCTCAAGAGTCGGAGCACTTTGTGGATAAACCCTTTTTTTTTTTTTTTTTTTTTTTTTTTTTTTGCATATCTGCTCAAAACTTCCCACATAAAGCATCATGGGGTGCTCCTTAACTTTGCAACTATACCTCACCCTCAAGCTGCTTGTTGAAAAGTAGTAGGTAAAGGTCATGTGTACATACACTGTTTATTAAAAAGTTGTCTGGATTTTCATACGAAAACAACTCTAAATATTTACTAGCATTTATAGGCTCTGTATAGCTGAAGTGTTTCTCTAGAATAGATGGGGTAATTAGGAACAGTTATGGCAAATCCAGTGATGTCAGCCACAGCTGATGGGTGGTTCTGTGTTGGCTTTTGTGCTGGAACATAGTCTTGATTTTTCCCTCAAATATTACCATTTCCCCCCCTTTTTTTCCTGGAAGATTGAAAGGGAGAACAACTTGGACAGAAAAATCTGCTTGTATATTTGAGAATATCATTTACTGGTTCAGATAGTCCAATAAACAAACAAAAAAACCCCTTTCTTTAACACACGAGTAGCAAATACAGGGTGTAATGTGGTAAAGAGATTTACCTGTCTCGAGTTAATTCCTTATTATGAATGAAAATTCAGTGTAAGGGGATCAGAAGATTCTTGTGGCCACCTTGTTACAACCTTAAATTTGAAGTAGGAAATTGAATATTCTTCATTTATTGAAGTGAAAGTAAAACTTGACAAAATACTTCGGAATGCTTGTAGTGTGTAGCATCTCTTCCTTTTCTGTAGAACTGTCATTTAGCATATGGCAAATCATGTGAACTCTTTTAAACTCCTGGACCAGTGAAACAACATGTCTAGACTTTCAGCTTAAAAATACATCATAAAAAACGTAGTAGCAGAAAATTGGTTACGAGTCCTGGAACTGTCTGTTACTTAGGTAATGTTAAAAGTGGTTTTACCCCAAAATTATTTCAAACCATTTTTTAAACCATTTGAAGAAATGAAGTACAATACATTTTGATTAATGGGATATTTGGTGATACCATCTCTCACATCTTTTGTCTGCATGTCACTGTTCAGAGACTTTTCAGTTTAAGTTTTCTATTTTAAAAGTTAATTTGGAAGACTTTGCTCCTAATTTCACTTGCTATATAGAGTTTATATCTGAAATCAGACCAACTGTTGTTCTTCCATCTTCCCCCCTTGCTTTCTTTTGTCTGTCACCATCACCATTTTAGGTATTTTGAGCTACTTATCATTCTGAAAAATTTTGAAAATTAGTAATTATGTTAAACTTTTACCAAATTTAAATATTTACAGCAAAAATTGAGCTCCATCATTGAAAGGGTGAGAGAAGCTGGTGTTCCAATAACAACTGAGGAGGAATATTAGGAAGTAGTACTTAGGATTTTGACTGTTAGACTGTGAACATATGAGCAAATTGCATATACCAGTAGGACCAGCCTGTTTTGTGTTGGATGGGTACAGATGCCATTTGAAGTTTAGTCTTTCTCTGGAGTATTACAGGTTTTTTTCCCCTCTGGTTACCCTAAGCACTGCGTGCATGTGGCTTTGAAATAATACAAGGTTTAAACAATCGGTTTGTCTGCAGAGTTTATATGCTGTGGTTTAGATTTTATTATACAATAAGATTCTCATGCTTGCATAATTCAGTGTGGATCTATATTTCCTTTCTACAAACACACGTTTTCACTCTGTAAAGTGAGTGAGAATGCTGCTTCACAAATTCATTTTTTCAGTGAATCCAAATTTGTAGTTGCTCGACTAAATTTTAGTTTTAAGTTGATTCAGATTTCCAACTTCTAGCTTTTTTCTTCACTTTACTCTCATTAGTATTGCAGAGTCAGTTGTTTGGTATAAAGGTACAAACTGGCTTCTCTTGTTTTCCACGTCATCAGCAAAAGTTTCCAAGTAGTTGTATCTGCATCTGTGTCGAAGAGGCTCTGCAGGTAGAGGAACTTAACATTGTATTTTTGAAAATTCCATGTGTCACACAAAGGGGTCAACTTAACCTTCCTTTCTGGAGATAAAATGCAAGAACGAAAGAGTACTAATTGACTGCTAAATACAAAACTGAGTTTGTACATAGGTACAAAATGTGCAGCTGTAAATTAAATTCAGCCTATCTTGCTGTGAAAATTTGTGAGAAATACTCAATAGGAAATCTCCAATACCACTTTGAGTGTCACTTTGTGGAGTACAGCCATGTGTTGCTTGATTTCATTTGTTATAAAAATAACTCGTTTTGTTTTTTGCAGCAAACAGCATGACTCTTCAGATGAAACAAAAGAAAGCAATAGAAATCAAACTAAAAAAGTTGCGTCAGTTGAAAAGAATGAAGAAAACTCACCACTGTCAAACACAGAAAATGTTCCTAGTTTGGAACTCCCTGACAATAACTCACAGAATTCTTTGCATGAGAAAGGAGCATGTTGTGATTCAGATAATAACAAACAATTAGTAGATGAGAAACAAAAGTGTATTCATGATGAATGTGAGTTGAAAACTTGCCAAAGTTCAGGTAATGTTATCTTGAACGAGCAGACTAAAGTACGTGGCTTGGATGAAACTACACTTTCAGCAATGAACGCAAGAGACTTAAAACTAACATTGGGTGAAGATGTTAGTTTTGAGCAGTTCTTGAGGAAAAGGGATGAACCTGAATCCATTAGCTCAGACATTAGTGAACAAGGCAGTATTCATTTGGAGCCTTTGACTCCATCAGAGGTACTAGAGCATGAAGCTACTGAAATTCTTCAAAAAGGTAATGTTGCACCTTCATCAAAGAAAGCTGGACAACTCTCTGAACAAACAGACGAGACTTCTAAAGAAAGCAGTCCCGACAGAATGGAAACAACTGTAAACAATACAGACGAAAACGAAGCAAGCTGAAATTACGTTAATTTGGTTGTTTGTTATAAAGAATGGTAACAACACCTTGGACCATTCCTGATGAGTGTCCTCATTGATGCTACTTATTAAAAAAATTTTTTAAAGGGTTGGGACGAGGGAGGAGAGAAAGAGACACTAAAGGGAAATTTTGCATATGAAGATAGCATGTATGTGTATGTACAACTGAATTAACTAAATTTACAAAGGGTAACATTTAAATATAATCTTCCTGCCTCTTGGATGTGATATATCTTATTAGACTGACATTAGAAAGGAGGAATAAATTCTAATTTTTATAGTTAACTAGTCCGAGATCAGGTGATTTGTTTGCCAAGAAAATATTTTTTTAAATCCTTCAGTGTGAATATTATTAAACAGTGGAATTTAGTATGAATTCACTTCTGATGCTGAAATGGGGCACACTTGTAATGATGGTTATTGGTCTGCTGATAATTGGGGTGAAGATAAACTTTTGGATTTGGTGTCACATTCCTGTCTGTAAAAGCATGTAAACAGAATTATATGAATCTATGCACCTCTGTACAGGTGTAATCCTGCCAGACTGTAAGCTTACCTTAATAAACTTTCAGTGAAAGTGGAATTATTACAAGAAAAATATATATTTGTGGGGTTTTCAGTGTGCAGGCTGTGCAGAAATACCGAATACAATTGTATAAAGTAGAACATACTGCTGAAAGTACTGTAGCTGTTAGGCTTTTACCAGTGTTTTAGTTCCTAGCTGTAGACCCATAGGTATGGTCTGTAAGTCACACCAAAGTACGGTTTAATGTCAAAACTGTGTTAAGCAAAAAGAAGGAAAACCCCCCAAACTGGAAACACCAACTGGCATGCATTCTGCCATTTTGCAGCTGCTACTGGCTAACTGTTATAAAAAGGACACAAGGGCATATAAAGTAGAATTGTACAGTTCAATTTCAGGACTTTTTGTAGTCGAAATTGTGTACAGAAAGATGGCTGCTGATTTTGGTTTGGTTTTTTGTTTGGGTTTTTTTTTTTTGGTCTAGTTAGCTAGATATAGGAATGCATATGATTAACAATAGCTTGCTCTTATGACTTCATTGCTCCATTTGAAACACTCAGAATGTGCTTTTGACTTACAGTTTTGTTTCTAATGAATGTTAAGTGTTTTGAACAGCTGTTAAAGCGCTGCTGTAAATTATTCCTTTTTGAGTAAATATTTGCAACAAAATTTTGTCTTTGTGCATAATTTTATGCTCAGCTTGAAACTTTGGGCATAGTCTCCCCGCATTTTTTTTAAAGTTCTAGTGACAGTTCCCCAAAACTATTTCATTTTTAAATTGTGAATTTGATACTTACGTGGGTTTTTTTGTTCATTTGGGGGTTTTGGGGTTGGGTTTGGGGTTTTGGTTTTGTTTTGGTGTTTTTTTTAGAATTAAATGAGCAAGTGCCTATGCAGAAACATATTTTTGTAGCTCTGTATTGTGGTAAGGTGTGCTTACTTTTCCAGATTATACAGATATTTTTCTGGGCCATCAGCATGCAACTGAAGTCTGCTCTGTCCTCCAAGGTTAACTGGGCTCAGCTGCTAAATGAGTCTAAAGAGCAACAGTGTTAAAGATTTAGAGACCATCCAGCTTATTGTTGGAGCCTCTAAATAAACCACATCCGTCTCAACATCCCCCAAACTGCTTCAGACGCTGAAGAGTTATGATTTAAATTTTGAATTGCATCTTAACTTGTATCCATACAGGCTTAGAAGGCTTTTTAAAAGAGAAGTAGAACAGTTTGTATAGTCACAGCTCTTCAATATCTGCTTTTAGAACTTCAAATAAGACACACGAAAAAGCTGAGAGCAATAACTTTTCTTCTGTTCTTTAAAGATTTTAGTGAACTCGTTAACTCAAGGTTAACAGTCTGATGTCTTCAGGCATGTACACATAGAAGACTACAAAACACAGCGTCACAGTGAGGACGGTTTAAAGGACTTAATTAGCTATGGAACTTGATGTGTATGTTATTGAAGGAGTTCCTGGATGCATCTGTGTTTAAACCCAGAGAAAGCTCTATAGTATTTTCAGTCTGATCGCTGATCTTCCATGCAAATGGTATATTTTAAATAATGCTCTGATATGTGGTGTTGGAAAAGATACAGCTGGAACTAGTTGTATGATGCTTGTAAATTCCTCACGTGTCTTTATTATGTAATTTTAAAATTGGAATAATTTGGCCACATACTGGTGAGAAAAGTTGGGAAATAAAACTCGGATTGGAAAATCTGCATATTTGGCAGAAGTACATATATATTCTCAGAAACTTAATATGTAAAGCATTGTGTGTTTCAAACCATACAGAGACTGTTTCTCCAGGAGGTGGTGTTAGGTATAAAGCACCCAGACACCTAGCAGCCCTTCCAGAGGAAGAGGTAAGAGCACTGGCTTGCTCTAGCAAGGCCATCAGATAGCTTTAAGTGAGGTGTATCATGAAAAGGGTGGCATGGCGCTTTTGTGGAGAAAAACTTAAAGTTCTTACTTGTTTTCCAATGTGAAGTCGGTCATTTGCTGACTAATCACTGCGGGAGACTGTAGTTATGAAGATTAATCTGTTGCGTTATTTGGGAGGTTTCCTGGAGATGAGTTGAGTTGGTACTTTTGGCTGAAGTCACTCCAGAGGATCAAGTTACATTGAATGCATTTTGAGTGATTTGAACTTAACTGCACAGAATTTTGTGTTTGTTTCTGAGTCATTTAAAAGTTTCCATCCAGCTGTCAGTAGTTACTATTCTGTGCCATCTCTTTTTGTACTTGGAAACGCATTTTACCTCAAGTTTTCATTTCCTTACCAAAAACCAGTAACTGAATTCTTGGTATCTGTACTAGATTCACCATTTCCTCTCATCTCAAAAGATTTACCATATTTTCTTGACTAACTGTTGCAGGTTGTTTATGCGCTGTTCATTTTCAAGGCACTCGCATGCCATACATATGCTCTTTTCATTACCTGCGTTCGATGAAGAGCGTTGTTAGCTTAGGGCTGGGGAGAGTTCAGTCATTTGGGGCTCCCTCAGGGGCAGCCAGGGTCGGGGTTTGCCCCGTGCAGTTTGGGAGAGAAACTTCAGCCTACCTGAGCTTCAGTTTTTCTTTAACAGAAATGCTGAGTAAACCCAGGAAGAAAATCATATCAAATCATAGCTCATAGTTAAAATTCAGTATTAGGTGGTATATTCTAAATAAGAACATTTGTATAACAAAACCATGTCCGCTTTTCTTTTCCTGGAAATGGGGAGAGAGAGAGAAGCTGGGCAGTAGGTGTTAAATCATGTTCTGTGGTGCTCTGTCATCAGAAGGCATTAGAAACTGAAGATCAGGGTAACACTTGGTATTCTGCAAAACCTTAAATAAAAGATCTCAAAGCTTTTCTGCAGGCGTTAAGCATTGTTACTTATATGCTGGCATGTAGAAGGCAGTTATATTTTTATGCTGTAGGATATATTAATATTCCACCAAAGACACAGTAGAGTTTTGTTAAAGACTGTTTAGAAATTTTTGTGTAGGGCAAATTTTATACCTGATTGTTCTCCTCTTGTTTTCATTAGTGTTTGATTTTTGAGGCTTGTGAGCTTATTTTGTCTAGTTGCATCCTGTATTTTTTGATGTATGCTTAATATGCCTTCTAATAAAAACAAAAAAGTGGTAAGTATGTTTTATGATTACTTGAATGATTTTTGCTTTTAATAAAACCTTTACTCCAGTTTCAACATAGCTCAGAAGGACAGTTCTTAAATGAAGCCTGGCACGTTATCTCCTTGGAACGGTTACATTTTTACACATAATTTTGTCTCCCTAATTTTCCCCATTAATTCCCCGTTAAAAAGGGAGAGTATGTTGGTTGGTATTTCACATTAATTTACAGACACTGCAGGAAGTTCTTTGCTATGTTCCTTTGAGACTTGGATGACTGTTCTAAGACAGTTAAAATTTTGTATTCATTCGTTTCATTGACCCAAAGTAACCGTGTTAAATTGACATTTCCTGTATGGCACCAGATTTTTTTAAAAAAGGGAAATGTGTAACTGTGAAACGCTTCATTTTTAGGGAGATTGATGTTGTTATGCCTACATTGTGCTGTAAAGCTGATGTGTTTATTGATGTAAAAATGCTGGGTTTGTTGAGGTTTTTCTGCTGTTCAAACTGTTATTTCAGAGAGGCTGAGGTTTTTGTGACAGCCACAAAGATGACTGTAATGTTACATGTATATCTGCATTTAAATTTGAGCAAATTTAGCTTCCTATTAAGGAAATTAAATGCTCAAACATATGGGCTAGATCAGACAATTAAAATAAGATTCATTCTATGGCCAAAGAGTGTTAGCTTGTCAGCAACCAATTCTCCATTCTTTAAGCATTTTTTAAGTAGCATTGCTAAATGAGTCCCTTATGTTATTAATTGAACGTAAATAAAATTAGCTTGATATTTTAATTCACTAAATTCTCAGTGTTAGGCATTTAAGAGAAGAACAGTTTTCTCCAAAAATTTTGGTGAATGGGATAATATATAGTGGTATCCTTGTAAAGAGTTGTCTCATACTGGTAGCCTTGAAAATGATAACCTTCATATGTTTTGCTCATAAAGAGTATAATTAAGAATTAATCCTTTTGAGGAAAGTAACCTGCGTGTCTGTTTCTTATAGCTTCTTGTGACTTTTTCATTCTGATCCTGTCATGATATTCTAGCAACAAATTGAAGTCCTTTCCTCTTTGAAGGCTGAAGAAATGGAACATGAATACTTAATAGTTTTAAAATTGCATATATTTGAATTACCTGGATGTTTGCTGCGTGAAAGGATTGAATTCTGTGAACCAGTTTCTCAGGTTTTCAGCTGAGAACTTAACTGAGATTTGTTCTTTCCATTTAATTTTATTGAAAAGACTTAACTTCCTCTTTGAGCTAGCAAGTTGATGGCACATGGTATAATCTCCCCAGGATATTTAATGTAATGCACTGTATTCGATACGATTTAAATGGCTTCTTTCTCCCCCATCCCAATCCTGTGTATCTTGGAATGTCTCCTCCTCTGGAGGTTGGTGCATTAACAACTTCTAAGTTGTTGGCATGTGATGGAAAGCCAAAGACATTTCTACAGAGGAGAAGCAAAAGTAAGTTCAGAACTTTAATTGTGAATAGTGGTATGCAACATGCAGGTTAACCTGTTTTGTCTGATAAAGTAAAGCTTTTTTTACTCGTTCCTAAAATTGCAACTTGAGGAACCAGAGCAGTTGGCCACATCCAACTTTAATGGCTCTGACAGAGCCTGAGATATCCATATCAGGTCGGAATTCCCAAAAGGGGCCTAAGGCAACATGTTCAGGCAAGGGAGGCTTTTCTTCTGTTTGTGTGACTTTACACTCTTATTTTCCTTCCCAGATAACATAGACTGGATGTTCTCCTGAGACCATAGAGAGGCCAGTTAACCTAGAGAACACACGAGGGCTTGTATGATCTTCCTTGATGAAACAAAAAAGAAGCTCTTACCGTGTGGCATGTATGCTGGTTTATATTAATATAGTAACATGTGCCTTAGTGTTGAACAGTGCCTTTTTATTAATATTTGCTAAACAATGAAGTTCTGTCAGGTCCCCTGAATAGTCTCTTAACAATACTGTTTAAAATAAACATCCTTTAAACTACAGCTTGTCACTTTTTTGCAGCCTTTGTCTGAGATACCAGGCTAGTAAGTACCACAGCAGAAAAGCATCAAGGCAGGCTGTGTCATCCCTTGTTTTAAGGCTGATAATGACTTTGCCTTCCTTGAGCTTAACCTATAAAATGTCTTCCAAGTTTGTTGTAAGAGAAACTTCAGTACACAGAACTTCTATTGTTTATAGACCTGCTTGGAACTTAATATGGATTCAATTGAAATCAGTAAGACAAACTTATTAAAGTAAAACATACTTTTTAATACCCTCAAAATTCTATTTGATAAAAGAAATCCATTGGCCTCTGGGTTCCTCAGAAGGCAGCCTTGATGATGTAAAAGGAGATGAAAGTACAACCTGTATTTAAAATACAGTAAACATAGCGAGGTTTTTCCTAGCAAAAGTAATGCAAGTTACTTGTGGATGGGAATGTGTAATAATCCACTCTTCTCGGTTTTATACAGTGGAGTGAAAGATAAAAGCTTCCTTTGCAGTTGTTCACTTAGCGTATGTAAAATTCTAGTGAGGGTGTAGTG